GGAGGAAATCAAAATGATATCAGATTCACTTTATGCCATTAATGAGTACATGTAGTTTGGAGTCCTTACTGGTATCAAAGGAGATTTGGTAGCAAGATTCAGAATGAAGGATTTGGGAAGATTGCATCACTATTTCAGTATGACAATTGATTAAGATGAAGAAGAAGGATGCCTGTGGTTACATCAGAGACAGTACATTAGCTCACTTCTGGAAAGGTATGGACTGTCTGAAGCTAAAGTATGAGCAACACCAGCAGACACTATGTGAAGCTAGTGAAAGAAGATGGTAGTAATCCTGTAGACCCAGTCAAATATCAATCAATGGTAGGTAGCTTACTCTATGCTGCAGTTGCTATAAGACCAGAAATTGCCCAAGCAGTGGGAGCAGTATCCAATATAACTCGTGTCCCACTAAAACTCATCTCACAGCAGTAAAGCGTATCTTCAGATACTTGAAGGGAACTATTGATCTCAGTTTAAAGTTTGACAGATCTGCTAGTGAAACACTGATAGGATTTACAGATGCTGATGGGGCAGGAGATAGGGATGATGACATTCCACTACAGGGAATCTCTTCATGATGTCTGGTGGAGCTGTTAGCTGGCTCAGCAGAAAGCAACCTGTTGTTGCTTTATCAACTACAGAAACTGAGTATATAGCACTTAGTTTGGCTACACAAGAAGCTACTTGGTTGAAGAGACTCTTGTCAGACATTGCTACAGGTCCATCCAAACTAGTTACTATCAATGAAGATAACCAAGGGACTATTGCAGTAGCAAAGAACCCAGTCTCTCATGCTAGAACCAAGCATATTGATATTAAATATCACTACGTACGTGAGGCATTACAGAATGGCACTATCGATCTAGTATATTGTCCTACTGAGAATATGATAGCAGATATATTTACGAAACCGTTATCTCGTAATCGTTTTGAAATTTTGAGGACTGAAATGGGACTAGTATTTTTACAAGAAACCAAGTAAATTTGAGTGGGAGTGTTGTACATAGTAAATTAACTTGGTTTATTACAACTAGTTATTGTTTAATGTTATCTAGTTATTAATTTGTGTCCCATATATAAGTGTGCTGTTCTATTGTTTTTGTTTAAGTTGTTCTTCTGTTGATACTTTTATGCATACACCATTCTACATTCTTCTCTTCTGTTCCCATTAATTCTATGATAACTTGAGTTTGTCAGTTTAACTTCAACTTGTTACCAGTATTACAACAATGTAGGACATGTATTGTCAAGCAAGCTGCAATCAATTTTGTTGTTATCAATTGAAAAAATAAGACTTACATATAATGCATATAAAACAAATGTGGTGGAGTATCATAAAGCGCTGGTCACCAAAAACTTGGGTAGCAGTGGTCAAATTAACCACCTGAATGCACTTCGTAAGTTTTTCAGCTCTTTTAGGTACCACCAACATCTAGACTAGTATCCTCCAGGAGAGGAGTAGTGTAGCCAGCAGACATGGGGTCAATTACATTAGAAAGTAATATATTACTATTACTATTAACTAGAAAAAAATTCTATTACTATTACAATTACATGTTTAGTAGATGTAAATGTAATATATTACTATTACTATTACTCCATTAATTTCATTATTACTATTACTATTACTGCATATGCATGACAAAATGTAATCTAATTATATTACGATTACATTATAATTTCAAATCAATTCTCTTTAAAGCAAATGACCATTACATTGTATACTTATAAGTTTCTCAAAAACAGTATCAGAAAGTCTGCATCGTTCCGGTCTAAAAAATTTCCCTCCTATACTGAATACCACTGGGCAGATGAACCTTTTGTCAGAGCAGACAGACTTGAATGCACATACATGTACCTGTACATGTACATTGAATACTTGTACAATAATGTATTACAATATGCACAATTACTATTATATTACTATTACTTAACTGTCTCCTACTATTACAATTACTATTACTTGGTGTTTTGATTCCTCCATTACTATTACTATTACAATTACTTCAAAACATGTAATCTTTACTATTACTATTACTATTATCTATTACTATTACCCCATGTCTGGTAGCCAGTATTAATCTCAATATATTCAAGTGATGGATGGATGAAGATAGTTTCTCATAAATGTTGTACTAGTTCTATCCAGTTAGGTTGGGATGATTCTAATGTCCTAACTCTGGGACTCTAGGGTGCCTCTTAACTCATTAACTCATCAATCATTAACAATTAACTCATACACATGTAGAATAATTAAATGTTTTTTTTTATTTTGTGTTTAAAGTTAAAAATAGATTGTAAGTCAGAATTTTTTTGGAGATTTTTCCAGTCAGGTTGACCTTGTGCCATATTAGTAGACACATTCATTAGGACTAGTAACAGGATACTGCCTACATTCCTCATAATGATCCTTTGTAATAGAGAAGAACAAACTTTTACTACTTCAGTACTGGCATTGAAATGAATAATGAAGACATTCAAATCAAGAAACAAGAGGAGCTGGAGGTAGTCAAGGGACTCCACTGAACTTGACAATAACTACATGCGTCAATCACTCAATACATTATGGAAAGACAGAGTTTTTAATGGAGAGAGGACTTACTGCTCCCACTAGTGAAGGACATAGGGTTTAAATACAAAAAAGTGAATGACAAAAAGTGCTAATATAAAAAGATGCCACACATCATCCACCAGAAAATATCTTACCTGCGCAAGATGATAAAAAATAGAGCCGACAAAAAACCAATAGTCTTCCAAGGGCCAATGCCCATGATGGCTAAGATTTGGCTTCATTAGTACTAGTCTAGTCATTGGAAGCATAAAGATTGTCCCTTTAGTGAAGTGATTGAAAATGGCACCAACCATGGTGAATTTGTATCTCTTATTACTGCAAACCACCACAAACTCCACTATCAATTGAGGTAAGGTGGTTTAGTTAGTGACAGATTATTTGAAGAGCAAGAGTGAAAATGAAGATCGTAGTTGTTAAATGTACATATTTGCATGATTAACACACAATACAGTAACTGAAATGAAGGTGCTTAAGGGAAATGGGCCACCTACCTGCTAAAGGTAAGCATTTTATAATTTTTGGAGCAAGAACCAATTTCAATGTTTGCAACAGAAAGCTCAGTAAATAAAAGCTTATCTAGTGAATTCGTACAAATTGTCAATATCAGGCTATACACCTCAGGTAAGCACATGGTCAAATGAAAGCAAAGATGAGTTGTGTCACCTTAACACTGTAGGGGTATAGAAGGAATGAAGTTTGTCCACTCAAGTGAGCAAGATACCTTGAATCACCTTGATATTAACCCTTCAACCTTAATATTACAACAAAATGAGATCCATCAACATTGGTGAAGATATCTTTTAAATGTGCTCCTGTCTGCAGGCATTTTCATGAATACTAAGATGGTTGGAATACTGATAATCCAGCGTTGATAAAGAAAGCTATGGATCATATTAAATGTTTAAGCTGAAAACATTCCCATTCTTTACAATAGAATACTCAATTAAGACGATTTAAAATATAGTGAGTTTGCAAAAATTGTCAAAGCTAGGCTACACTCCTTAGGTGAGCAATAGCTTCAAGGCACTGTCCACCAACCCAGAATGATAATCATCAGGTTAATGTAGAGATGAGTCGTGTCACCTTTACCTTGAAGCAGGCTACAAGGACTTGGATTCGATAATGCATATAGCCTTGTTGGAAAGTATTTTATATTACATTAGGACAATCAAGAGTTTGGAGTGAGTTATAATTATACACAGTTATAAATAAGTCTTCCTTGTATTAGTAGGAATGGCTGGGGGGTAGTATCGGCACAAACATCTGACAACAGATCAAAGTAACCCCATATATTTCCATCACAAGTCTTCCAATTTCTCATAACTTCTTTCTCCAAAGGTCATTGCCATTCCATTTAAGTTAGTAAAACATACTCGTTGCACACGATATGTGCAACCTTGCTTTAGGGTAAAGTAGAGTTTCATCAAACAACTCGAATTATATGTAAAGCCATTTGGAAAAATGTGTAAACGAAAAAATAAATTGTTATACATTCAAGGAAGATTTGCATGAAAATGAGCATATAACAGACATTGTTAGATAATGTTGCAAGGTTTACTTGTGTATTGAGACAATGATGTTATTATTGTGATTGCTATTAATTGATACAGAAGCTACTCGCTACCTATAAGTTGGAAGATGGAAGCATTGTCATGTTAGAGCAGGAGGTAGCAAGCAGGAGGGAATCAGGAGGGAATCTGTGAAATTCGCGAAATTTGGAACCCTAAAAAAATTACTTATACGGTAACAAGAAAGTAAGAAAGGTGCTTCACCTGTCAAACTCAACTGAAACCGGCTATACTACAGTATACTATTGTATACTACTGTATGTGTACTATTGTATACCACTGTACACTATTGTATACCACTGTACACTATTGTATACCACTGTACACTATTGTATACCACTGTATACTACTGTATACTATCTTATACTACTCTATACCATTGTATACTACTGTATACTATTGTATAGCACTTTATTGTAGCGGTGCTTTATTTTGGCAATCACTGAGCATGAGCATTAATGATTAGCAGTTTTAATACTGGAGATTCCTCTTGAAAACCCCCACTCTGCCAAATTAAAGCACTACACAGTATTGGTGTATTGCGCATGCACAACAAAGACCAACACTACTGTATAGATCCCAAACTACCTTAAAACACCATCAAACAAAACACAAGGCTGGTTAACATATAGCGGGTTTTGTAGAGGATAACAAATTCTGCAGATTTTTTTAAATTTGGGAAATTAAATTCTTCAAAAATCAATTTAAATACAGTACAATATGACAGAAAAGTGGAAATTCACGACAATAAATTCTGTGATTTTTCGGATATAGGCCATCTGCAAAATTATCACCCTAAAAACCACTATATGGTATATTACATGTACATACATGTATGTACCAGTGTCCAGGTGAGGAGGAGGAGGTAGAGATCAGGACTCAGCTAGATGATGATGATGATGATGATGATGATGATGATGATGATGTTAATTCTTCACTTGATCCAATTGCCTCAAGAATGTCTTTATAACCACTATCATAATAATCGTTAATTTAACTTGATGAGTAATACATGTTAATTTACCTCTCTCATATCAGTAGCCTTTTAATTTCAAAATCAGAAATAACAAACTAGTTATTCTACAATGTAAAAATAATTAATATTATATTTATTATGTACACATATATGTACCACGTTCTTCAGGTAATATTCCCACGCAATAATAATAGGATAAGCATTGAAAGGACTCCAGTTATTATAAATATAATTACAGCAATTAATGGACCAGCGATGAGCTAATTCACCCTAAAGGAAAAGAAAGAGGAAAATGTCATACAGTGGAGCCACTATATAATGGACACTTTGAGACAATAAAGTACTTTGAGAGGAGGTTATTTTATAAAGTAAATAATGTAATTGGAACACTATAGGTGCAGTCTGATAAATGAGGGTGTTAGTCAGGGTAAGCTAAACAGCATATTTCAAGAGATTACAAGCACTACAATACAGTAATACATGTACATGTACATGGCTTTTGAGTAACAATTCGTAATTTTCATCTGAATCAGCCCAAACTTGCTACACAACATAAGGACATGTATATGCATCAGAAAGTATTATAAAAATGGCGATTTCTCTCCTAATAATTTTTGCTGAAATTTGGCCAGCAACCCTGTACAGGGACTTTGACCCGATTTTTAAGTAACTTCAAAAATTCATAAAAATCCAAATTTGATCAGAATCAGCCCAAACTTGCTACACAACATAAGGACATGTATATGCATCAGAAAAAAAATATAAAACAGAGAGCTCTCTTCTAGCCATTTTAAATGAAGTATCATGGCTAAGGGTTTTCAGTACAGTGTGCTAAGCACAACCTCATGAGATGACAAGGAGCAGTGTACATTAACAGTGACTATACTGTACTAACAACATAACAAGTACATTACTTACTTCATCTGAGTTTAATGTTTTGTTAATAATGTCTTTAATTATCGTCCATTGTGCATTAATTTTAAAATCATCATTCCAGACTCCATCATTACTGTATCCATATAGAGCACTGCATTGAACCAACACCCACCAATTGAAACCCATTGATCCAGTACCTGAGATACACTGGTATAGCAGCTCTAAAAATGACTGGAAAGAGAATTGGAATATAAAAAAATTTGAAATTAAAATGTCAAATAATAGTCTAGCATGTAAAATAATAATTTCATGTCATTATAACAATAGCAAT